TTAAATAATAAATTATAAAATTATAAAAAAATAAATAGTTTTGAATTAAATTATTTGAAAAATATAATTAAAAAGCTTATTATTATAATAATAATAATTATTTTAATTTCTTTTCTAATTATATTAATATTCTTTCTCTTACTTAGTTTTATTTTTTTGATTATACAAAGTTAATTTTGATTTGAATATAATATTATATTAATTTTTGATTTTTAATATTATTTTTATATTTTTAAGAATAAAAGATCTTTATTATAAATAAGTTATATTATTTATTTTATTATTTTGAGAGTAAAAGAACTTTACTATAAATAAGTTATAAAAAATTAATTCTAAAGAATAATAATAATTCACATATTAATCTTATTATAATAATAAAGAATTTTTTTTAAAAAAGTAATTGAAAACTTAATATCAAATTTACTTGTCTAGTTTTATTTCATCAAGTTCTGTATATATTTTATAATATACAAACTTTAGTTTTTAAAATTCAGATTAAGAGTAAATAATATTATTTTGTAATACATAAGATCTATCTTGAAATTTTCTTATATTCTCTTTTGAAATTCTTTCTGATAATTATGAATAATTAGGTAGATTAATATATTTTAAACTGTTATCAGTTTTATATAAATAATAGTAACAATCATTATTTCATATTATAGTTTAAAGAATTTGATTAATCATGATAATACCTTCTTGATATTCATTTTTGAGCTATTGAAGTATAAAACTGATATTTTGAATGTGAATATATATTATTAATTTTAGATTTTTTTTGTATTTATTATTAACTTATTGTAGTATTTTTGACACAAAGCCTTGCTAACCAAGTCCAGATCTTGATTCAAGCTTGGTATCTTCACTTGTTCTGATATAATAGATGTATCATGCTGTTTATAGTCACAGATGATGCTCCCTTGGCCCTCCAAATCATAATGTCAAGCCTTTCTCTTTCCTTTTTTCCCATTGGAGAAAGTTGGATCTTCGTAGAAAGTTTCTTGTGCAAATATTTTGCTTTTTCTGATAATAGAAATGCTTATTTATAACAGAGTAAAAATATACGCTTCTTAGCTAGTTTCCAAATTACCTCGCTTTTCTCGAATTATTTTAACAGTCTATAAAACGAAAGGTATACTTAATAATTTTTTTGATCGCAATCTTTGTCAATGCGTCCTCGTGACTACCAAGTCATTTTTGTTACCGTGATATGTTACGCTAATATGTAAGAATATCGTTTAATATTTCAGCAGATCTTCCAATCAGATTAAAGCCCGTTATGCTAGTAATAGGTATATAGAAGGTTCAGAGCGTCAATTAAGAATTTTAAATAAATTCAGGTTGATTTGTAAATTTATATTTTTCTCGTCCACTATCTCAACACCTAATAATACTTACATATAATATAGAGGGGTGTATAAGCTATGAACTGTTATGCAGGTTCCCTCTACTAACCTAAGATTATTGCACTGTTGAGGATGAATTAAAAAATATGAGTTATTATGTAGCTAATTAAGATCACACAAAGTTTTATCGGCACATAAAGATAATAGCTTTGCATATGCACTGATAAACCACGTTATTTTAATGATGAGAATTTATGTATTTCTAAAATCTAACGTATTATCTATTTATAGTTTGATAGTGCCTTTGAAGGGGTTAATAATCTTTACGATATGAGAGCAATAAAAACTGATAAGAAGCAACCACTTAGTTCAGACCAAATTATAAAGAATGTAGATAAACTAAAAAGAAAACTCGGCAAAGACACATCTCCTCTCTATCCGTGTTTATATTCCGACGTAAATAAGATCCCAGTTCAAGAATTAACTTGGAAAGATTCTTTAGCTAGTCAAGTTATTAGAGATAATTCAGAACTTGTCCAAAAATTACCAGGAAATTTAAAAAAAGCATTTATGATATATATTTATGCGTCTCTGATACTAGCCCCACTATTATTTTTTATTAAAAGCAGTTATAAAGTGACTAATGATTCTAACAAAGCTAATAATTTTATTTTAGAAATCGGTAAAGTTGATGAAACCCATTCTTATATCAAAAGTCGAAGATATGTGTAAAGGGTTTGTATCAAATTTTTCTGGTAGTAATATATATAACATGCCATCTAACAAGTTAATTCATGATGGAACGTCGAAAGAATCTGAGGAAAAAATTTCGCACGTTGTAGAAGGAGTTCTTAAAATAATCTAGCTTTTACTTCTGAGATGGCAAAAACGTTAAATGAAGGGACCTATCAATTTACAGTTATTGTACTATTATTAATACGAGCAGTATTAAAAAATCTACCTCTTGGACCATCGTCATTTATTAGTACATCAGAAAGACAAAGTATTGCAAGTGCAGATAGAAGAGGAGATGGTCAAACAGAAAGACGCCCGGATATAATGTTTGTGATAAAGTATTTGGATGTGTTTTTTGAACTTATGTATGTTGAATGTTCTCGATTATTTTGTACACAGCAAAAAAAAGTGGATGATGACATTAAATTATGGCGTGAGTGTAAGGATGGTATGTATTATACTCGAAAAACTCTTAATCCGGAAAAAGATCAATTCGGAATAGTGGGAGTACAAATAGCGGGAGATATCTTACATCTGAATATTCTTATTAGGAATAAAGCAAATGTTCATAAATATTATCATATACAATCGGCTAAAATCCTTGTACAGTTTTCGGATGAGAATGTTGTAATTACATTCGTTGAAACACTTTTACGTAATATACTAATTACAAATATATCCCAGTTATGCCATGGTTCAACATCCACATCCCAGAGGTTAATGGAAGATAGTACAACAGTTTCTACACCGCCACCACAACATGATTAAATTTGCCAGACAGTCTCATAGTGGCTATATAGATTTTTATTTATCCCGTATTTTTATATGTATTTTCTATTGTATATTTATTAATAAAGATTTTCGATTAGAGGAACGTACAATGTTATTTTTCGTGTAATGTATAACAGTAATTTTCCGTATTATCAATAATAATCACAAGTTAACAGACTATATGTAATTTGTTGGAAAAAAAATGAAATAACGGGAAAAATTTTGATTACAATATATCATGTGTTATTTTTTCGGCACTACATGCCATAAGAGGTTACATATGTATCAAGATTTTTTACTATATCAATAAAGCTAGCCCTGGTGGCCGATTTATCATAAAAATCATGTTTAGTTTGCATGTGTATTTCGCCGTTATATACGATGTATTAAATAAATCTATACCATATAAAACAAAAATTATTATCAATAACGCAATCCGAATTAAATTTATTAGAAGAGAAAGCTAAGAAAGTCAGACTAGCTGAACTTGAGGCGAAGAAAGCCGAGCTTGAGGTTGAGAATGCAGATATTAAGGCTGAGAATATAAAACTTATGGATGAGAATGCCAAACTTTTAAACGAATTATAGAAGAATATGCTGAAAATGAGGCTGATATAGCTAAATTAAAAACAGGTTTGCAATATCCAATCCTTTTTGAGCGTATTAAGACTACAATTCTTGAGCTTGAGACAAGGAATGCAAAATTAAAACCAATTATAGAGGAATTTACAAAGAAATCAGAATCTAGTCACCTTGTGATTGGTAAGAAAATCGCAAATTTCAGACTCATTCAAATAGCTAAGGAAATTCTTAATGAGGAACCGATAATTGAGTACTGTCCTTCTTTTCTGAATGGGTTAGAACTTGATGCCTTCTTTCAGAAATACCAAATTGCATTAGAGGAAATCAGCATCGGTTTCATCACACTAGCTGGTATAAGGATGTTAAAAAACTCGAAGATATTATTAATCGTGATCGGAGAAAAAGATGCATATGTCAAGATAATGGAATTTTTCTTCTTGAGGTATGGTACGATGAAAAACCAGAAATTGTTATTCCCGAAAGAATACAAAAAATTGAGAATTCATTAATCGGGCATCCAAAGGTTTTGATATGTGGCGGATCGATAATCAAAACGATAAAGTTGTACGGGATAATTCCGAAGAACCACTCAAGAAAATAATTAAAGCATATCCTAAAGAATATTAATATAGTCGGAGGGGGTAAAATCTTAACTCTTGAATATTATGATTGGTATAATGAATTAAAGCATTTTAACTGATAAAATTTGTTCTAAATATATAACTCATAAGAGAAAGAAGCTGGAAAAGACTTTATAGGCCCAAGTTACACAAATTTTTTCTGGTAATTACGTAGTCAACATCAAATTGTAGAATATACTACATTTACGGCACGATATGAAATATAGTTACCGGGTCTATAACCCATCGGAAAGAGTAACTATGAAAATTCACATTTTAAGTTGCGCTAAGAATACAAAATTAACTGCTATTAGGTTCTTGAATTATATTTATAAAGCAATGTGGAATTCCTATCTAGTAGATTATTATTAAGGATTATCTGCACCCATTCAAAACCACGGTAAGCCTAGCCTCATCTACGATATCTAAAAACTTTAACGGATTTCCTGGCTCATGTGCGTAGGCTAATTGATCTGTAACATCATTACCAACAAGGGCACATTCCACTTGATCACCAGAGTAATCTTCCCAGAGTAAAATTCTAGCTTGAACCCATTTACTCCGATTATTATCATCACCAATAGACACCTCAAACATCATAGAAGCACGAATTTGTTCTGCAGGCGCACCATAACCCCCAGCTATCATTGTAATTGCACTCCACCCTCTCCTCCCAAGTATTCTCTTAACATGATATAGCAAGATAGTTTCAGGTGCACCTGTATCGACCGCACAGGCATCATAAAAATCATACGAAAACACGATCATAATATTTTCATTAGGTCTTCTTCCGCGAATTCTGACCTTTATTTAGAAATCAAATTAATTTGAAAAACTATATAAATAGGAACCAAATCCTATAAAAGGAGATAGACATTTCTCATACGTATTCAAACCTTATAATCATCCCGCTGTTAGTGCGCTGAGCAATCACCATCTTCGCCGGCTTACTACGTGGTAGACGTGTTCGATCAACCGGGAGCTGGATGGCATTAGGCATAGTTTCGAGAACGTGATTCAATTGATCATCGTTATACTCCTCTCCATATTTTATAACTTTCTGGTTGTTTACCGTCACCCACTCGTTTTCTTGTCCTGCAAACTCTCCTCTGTCGAATACATTGTAGAAAAATATGATGTTAAACCCAACTTCATCCTCAAATTCGAGATCAACGTCAGCAATTTTTATGAAGGCACGCCTTCTAAGATATTCTGGTATGGAGGAGGGCCACATGAAATTCTTCCCCACGCGGGCTACAGATAGGGTAACAAACATCAAAACACTACTACATGTATTGCGACTAAATGCTATTCATGTATATAAAGGAAAATTGTGATCTGTACCGAGAAACCTTTGCGCTTGACCAGGCTTTGATTCATATTTTAGGAGGCTTTGAAGTGTTTCTGGTGGATTTTGTTTCTTCATTATTTTATACAAGATGAAAATTCTAACGAGGGAATATTATTTATATAGAGTTTTCATAAATATTCATTTCATTAATTAAAGAATATATCCTGCACCAATTATATATATAATAATTTTATAAAGTTAATTATATAAATAAAAAATATATCTGATGATATATTTAATTATATACTATTATTTTTAAATCTAATATTATCAAAAAATACTATTAAATTAACTTTACTTATGTTTAAGATATATTATATTAAAGTATATCAATTTTAATTATCAAAATTTTTAATATTAGTTAATATTAAAAATATATCCTATAAATATATCATAAAATATATTAATTTTAATTATATTTAAAATATATTATATTAAGATATATTAAATTATTTTATCTCTAAACTATTTTAGTTATGATAAAAAAAGTATCAAATTATATGAGTTTTTAAGAAATAAATTAATTATATTACAAAATTAATATATAATAATAATAATTATTAATTATATAAGTTAATGCAAAAAGATTTATATCTCAGATAAATATTAATAAATTATTTTTTCAAAATAAACTTTTAATTCTATCTTATTTAATTAAGTTATTAAATATTAAGATTTATTTAAATATAAAAATTTTTATTATATATCTT